CAAATGAAAAAGGAACTATTAGATGAAATCGAAACATTAGTTGAGGTATTCGGGTCAGAATGGGACCAAATTCCACGAGAAGTATGTAGAAGAGAAAGTAGGAATAGCGCGGGTCAAAGTAGATTTGAAAATGTAGCGGGAAGAAAGAAAAGCTTGGTACAAAGAATAACGCAGTATGAATTTCCCCCGGACGCGAAAGAGTTCCAAGGTCCACAGAAGTTTACCATCAAAGTTCGAGACACTCATTGAATCCAGATGCCAGAGTATTCAACCCAGAGCTAGCAGGAAACTCAAGGGGGCGATTATCGATCCCACTACGACCTAGTTTTGCAGAAATGGAAAGGCAACAAGATCACCGAGAATCACTTCGTAGAGGAGAAGTTACAGTATCAGACTCTCCAGAATCATTGTTGATTGATTTTGGCAACGAGGTAGAAGAGGATCACTCATCTACTAGACGAAGGCAATCAAATCAAGGCTCAACATCAGATGACATCAAATGAATCGTAGAAGATATCATAACTGACAAGCTGGGTTCCATGATGGATCAGTTCTTCAACAGATTCCAGGAGAATCAGGTAGGGAATCTGAATGCCGATGACCGAGTTGACAACAGAGATCGAAATTCAATCGCATCGCATCCCTCGTATGACAATAGTCGTAGACGAGAATTACATCAGATGTCGGGATTGAGGAGAGCTCCTGAAATTCCTCAACAGAGAACTGGGAATGAGATTCCTGTAAATGAGAATATTCCGATTCGTAGGGAAAACGTAGATGGAAGAAATTCTAATCAAGCTCCAAGATTTGTCGAAAGGCAATCGAGGGTTCCAATCGACAAATGGCCAGTCAAATATAGTGGAGACCCAAGAGGACCATCGGTTGAGGAATTCCTAAAAAGATTAGAAACATTAGCAAATAATAATAGGACGACAGAAGCAGAATTGTTAGGGCAAGTTAATTTCTTATTTAGACCTGATTCGGTGGTAGAGGAATGGTACTATACGTACAGTTCTAGATTCACTTCATGGAAAATTTTCAAATACATGCTGAAACTCAGATTTGGAATGCCAAACACAGATAGAGTAACGGAAAAACAAATCAGGGATAGAAGACAATTATCACAGGAAACATTTATTGCTTATGTAGCAGATATTGAGCGTTTGGCTCGAAAGCTTTCAAAGCCCCTAGGCAAAAAGCAAAAATTGAACATTATTCTAGATAACATGAAAGACTGTTATCGTGCTCATCTAGCATTCATTGATTTGGATCACATTAATTTGGACGCGTTGACCAGTCTGTGCTTTGACCTCGATAAAGCATTGTACCAAACATACACGACAAAATCAAGGACTTATAATGTTCATAACCTTAATGACGAAGCAGAACCTCAGGTAGACCACCGAAGAATCCGAAGAGGAAATTAATGCGATTTCGTCACAAAGAAGAACAAAGCAACGACAGGAACCGAAAACAAGTCAGCGAACAGGAGGACTAGAAGAACCTGGCCAACCAAATAACGAGTTATGCTGAAATTGCCATCAGATCGGCCATTTTTGGCGAGACTGCACCAAACAGAAGCGCATGTTCTGCCACATTTGTGGGCAAATTAATGTAATGATATCAACCTGTCCAAACAATCACCGATTCGCAACTGAGCCAAAAAACGATCAACTGGAGAGGTCGTAGGGAGTGACCAATCTAAACACAATCTCGTAGGGAGTAATAAGGGGTACAACTTTGTGGAACATTTCATTTTTCTTAACCGCATAGAACAAAAGTTAGAAATTTTATTTTTTGTCCTAAGGGATTTAAAGTATGGACTAATCAGATGTGCCTTTTTTCAAATCTAAACTTGTCTCAAGACACCAACTTGATTAAACGGCATCTGTATGCACTTTTTTTAGTTTTTACCTGAAAAACACCCTCCTGGACCACTTGGCACTGGTTTGAAGATGGATGCGAAATGCATCGCGAAGAAATTGCATGCTTCACTATTGGACTCGTTGCAATAGTGATCCAAATTATCACCGATTTCCTGCAAACAGCGCATTCCCTAACACAGATTTCAAAATCGAATTCGATCCTGTCTCCCTGAATGGTGCTTATTCAATCACCGTTTGTGGTGGTGTCCGATCGGTCGTCAGTAGCAGCAGCAGCAGCAGCAGTGCTTTCGGCGCGCAGCGTTGAACATTGTACACAAAGAAAGGCTGCCCGCAAACAGCGAGCACATAAGCACATTAGCGTCCATTCACCAAAAAGGAGGAAGAAGCCTCACCGATACTGATCGGGATTCATCTTCGTGAGTCGCTGTGGACCATCTATGCCAAGCGCGTCACCCTTGTTCAAAACAACATATAGCTCGTATATATACATGTTGAACACCCTAATAGGTCAGCATTACTCAACCATCACGACAAAACGGTCCTTTTCAGGACCCACATAAATTTGATAGAGTATTTTTTGGACTTTGTCAATGCCATCAATCGGATGTCAGTTCCCATATGTTTAAATATAACATACCATTTATTTTAAGGCAACATTCGCAGTGCAATTTCAGAATCCAAAGTCAGTCGCGGCATGAAAGTGATCTGATTTTGATCCATAGGTGATGGATTTTAATTCTGAATACGCAAATCGATAGGAAATTTTTCTACATACCTATCAGTTAAAATTAAGGATTTATCGTTTTTCAAAATGTTACTATTGAAAATTTCCCGAATGTGCAACTGTTGCTTCGAAAAGCGCAGGACCACCATAAATTATTGTGGTTTAAGAGTTAATTTTCATTGAACGTTCGCTCACCTTGCTGCCAGTCACATCACCCCCAAAGCTCTTTGATAATGTAACCAGCAACCAAACGTTTGTGGTCAAATGCGTACCAGTATTGAAGTGGTAGGTACATAAAAATTCTCGCAATGACCGAATACCACAGACCATGTCAAATACCCAAAAACACTTCGTAAGGTTTGCACAAGGACGCCAGAAAAAGTAAAAAATCTCGCGATTGGAAAAATTTTAGCAAGAAATTCCTCTAATCAATTTTTGCTTTTATATTATCTATTGAATAAACCAAAAGTTCCGTGCGTTTTGTGCACAAAAATGCGTAATTTTGATATCGAAAACGAGGCGTTTCCGTGATGGGAAAAGTGGTTTCCTTAACACTGTCGCCGAATATTGATACCAAGCATCGAGAATGACAGACCGTACCTATATTTATGCCCCTCCCTGTAAGAGAACCATGCAAAAAAAATTCTTGTAGAATTCTCTTAATAGAAGGGGCTTAAAATTTGCATCAAAAAACATAAACTAATACATATTTCATTTCCACACCGCTATCATCTCCATGAACATCTAGAACAAATTTCCACAGTATTGTTCTAAACTGGCTTCCTAGCTTCCAATCCATCGGTCCTTTTCAGGACCACAAATGACTGATAAAATAGTTAACTAAAGAGTAAGAGCTTGTATCCAAGACATACCGTCCAGGATTAACTTGTTCTACATGGACATCAGTAGAGCACCTCACAAACAGAACTCTCAAATTGCTTCCGAATTTCAACCTATGGAGTTTTTTCGCTGATAACGAGTTTAGAAACCAATTTAATATATACTATACTTTTGCTGTGACATCAAAACAACCTTTCGTAATCTTACGTCAAACGGTCATGTCTTGGATACAAACTCATACTTTTTTTTCTATTTCAGAAAATTTTCTTCGATCACAATCTTGGGAAACGCTCCTATATTGGCCATGTTTTGGTGATATTTAACGTCTTTTACAAGTAGAGGTCTTGAGCTATACTTGTTAATTGAAAAGATTGTTGATTCAAATCATATTCATCACATATCACCCACAAACATATCACCCACAAACATATCACCCACAAAACGCACGAAGATTGTGATTCAGTCGATTTTCTGAGGTATGGCCAAAATAGGAACCTATGGCCAATACTGGTGCACTTACACTATTAAAAATTTTAAATCTGAAACGAAGTGATCCGCTTCTCTTATTAAACATAAACATCATCCTCAGAACCAATCACAAAGCCGACAACAGTTCTCAGTCATGACACGTGTGTGAAAGTTAGTTTTTTATATGCTTCTTAGAATTCGTCGCACACGTTACCGCCCGTGTTGCTGCCCACCAGAAGACGACTGCGAACGAACCGAGTAACAAATGGCAGGACAGAACCAGACTCCAATTGCGGATTAACCTAAATAACAATATAATGAAGCTGCCACCAAAGCACACAAGCAACAATCCCTTAGTTGCGACAAACTCCGGATCGGATCATTTTTCACAATAATGGGTAGGATCCGGTGGGTGAGGAAAGTGATCGGATAGAAGGCTAATTAGTGGCAGCAACAGATTGCTCCGTGTGCAATGAAGGGTAGCGGGGGCAAGGATTCGAGACAGTCCTGACAAATGAGAGGATAATTGGATGCGCACGAGCGTGTGCCGAAAGCAAGCTGCGTGCTTTCACGGTTCGTTTGCTGCTCCTGAGTTTTGTGGCTCCCAGCCTGTAGAGCCATGAGGATAAAGGATAATGAGGATATGATTGAACAGTGTCACGCCCGGGTGATCCGATATTGTGATGCTTCATTGGAACGATTAGACCAACAAACTGTATGAATTGTGGAAGGTCTATATGCAGTTGATTGGGACTTGATGAATGACGATGAAACAGTTGTACTCTAGTAGTAGTTTTTCCCCTTCCTGGAACACTGATCTATCACAGGATTAGGCATTAGATTTGACGCACGTTGTGTTGACATCACTGACGTAATCCTATTCAATCTATCCTGTAAAACTTGTTCGCCTGAACACTTCCTGTTTCACTCCCAAATAGTTGTTGTTTCATGCATTGTTGTGTCCAAAATATATCATAGACTAATGTAAATCGACCAGCTCTTACAATATCCTCGAATGGTGTGATGACTAGCTTGTAACGCTCACAAACTCAATCCTGCGTTCTTTTTCCCCTCCATTTTAGTTACGCACTCGAGCACACCCGTAGTCTGCTTGGTAATCGAGGGTGGCACAAACACAATCAGAGCTGTGCTAGAATACGTCACCGACAGTCCACCGGTGCCGGTAGTGGTTTGCGATGGCTCCGGCCGGGCTGCCGATCTGATCGCATTTGTACATAAGTAATTATCGAACATTAGCCCGTGACCTCGAGTTGATCGATACCGTACTCATCTTTGAATGCTTCCGTAGATATGCTTCCGATACGGGTGAACAGGTTGTATTAGAGTCGATGCATGATTATCTCCTAGGTACGATACAGAAGACCTTCGAGGTGGGCCCGGAGCAGGCAGAGCAGCTCTATCAGGAATTGTTGTTGTGCACTAAGAATAAGAATCTGGTAAGTTGCCTTTTATGCCGTCAACTGATGCGACTCGGATCAAACAGTGGTGTCACTTCTTCGCAGATAACCGTTTTCAGGATTCAGGATCGACCCGAAGGAAATGCACCGGAATTGGACCAAACGATATTAACTGCACTTTTTAAATCCCAGCACTTGAGTCCACCGGAGCAGCTTAGCTTAGCGTTGACCTGGAACCGTGTAGACATAGCTCGGACGGAGATTTTTGTATACGGTCAAGAATGGCCCCACGGGGCCCTGGACGAAGCGATGATGCAGGCGTTAGAGCACGATCGAATAGACTTTGTCAAACTTCTGCTGGAAAACGGTGTTTCGATGCGAAAGTTCCTCACCATACCCAGGCTTGAAGAGCTGTACAATACTAAGCATGGACCAGCAAACACCTTGGGATACATCTTGCGAGACGTTCGACCGCACATACCGAAAGGTTACGTTTACACTTTGCATGATATAGGTTTAGTTATTAATAAGTTAATGGGCGGTGCCTACCGGTCGTACTACACGCGAAGAAAATTTCGACCAATTTACGCGAAAGTGATGAACAGCTACGTGAACACCCATCGAAAGCCATCAACGTTTGCACGAAGTCCTGGAATCAATTCGATGAGTCTAGTCACAGGACTGCTGCCGGTAACCTCCGATATGGCCTTATTTGAGTTTCCGTTCAACGAGTTGCTGATTTGGGCTGTTATAACCAAACGCCAACAGATGGCACTGTTGATGTGGACTCACGGTGAAGAAGCCCTAGCGAAGTCCTTGGTGGCTTGCAAACTATACAAAGCAATGGCCCACGAGGCAGCGGATGACGATCTGGATACGGAGATCTATGAGGAACTGAGGAGCTATGCGAAGGAATTCGAAGTTAAGGGACTTAAGTTGTTGGATTTCTGCTACCGCCAGGATGGTGAACGTGCTCAAAGGCTCCTCACTTGTGAACTACAATCTTGGTCTAGTCAAAGCTGCCTTTCCTTGGCGGTGGCAGCAAACCATAGATCTATTCTTGCTCACCCCTGCAGTCAGATCATTCTTGCTGATCTCTGGATGGGTGGACTGCGGACAAGGAAGAACACTAACCTCAAGGTCTAAATGCCTTAGCTATAATTCCATGAAAGTTTATCAACCTTGATTCTTTCCACAGGTTATCTTGGGTCTCCTGGTGCCACCTTTCGTCAAGAAGCTGGACTTCAAATCGAAAGAAGAACTGCAGCAGATGCCTCAAACCGAAGAGGAACACCTCGAAAACCAATGTCTCGATTACGACGACAACGGAAAGCACAATCCCGACGCAGAGGTAAGATCGTACATTCTTTCAACCCTTAGTTGTTGACAAAAGAAAATGAAACAACTTCTGAAATCTTATATATCTAATCTGTTTTCTCTTTCAACCTTCGGGAAACTTCTTTCTTGGAACGACGATTTCAATGCTACATTCACTAACATTCGATCGAAATCACACCACTACCACTTTTGATCTTGGTGTTTCGTAAAATAACATGTCTGCACACAAAACACACGCATACTGTTATCCCTTCACTATACTAACGAATATCGTTTGTATTAACAAACAAAAAAACGACCCTTCTTGACATGCTCCAACTCCTCACTTGAAACCCACCTTTATAGAATACTCTCGAAAAACCAACTCAGATTGAAAAACCGGTTGGTGAGCTCAACTCGATGCCGACCGTGCAGGTATTGAATGGAATCTGATAATCCTTCTCCTTCAGAATCTTCTCCACTTATTCGTATCTTCCTTAGATATAAAGTTTGAACTCACTGCTAGCTCGTGTTATCGTTTTGGTATGCGCTTGTTGCCTTCTGATTTCCCTAGCTCTTTTATGTTTTCTCACTGCATTGTATTCTGATTTTCTGGTGCTGCTTGTTTTTTGGTTTGTGGTTTTCGTTTGACTAGCATAGATCTTCATCATATTTGTGTCTCTTTTGCTCATAATTATTGAAGTTTGACTGCTTAAAAGGAATATGGAAAAACATTCAAAGTAACTAGCATAATAGAAAATATTGGGACTCATCATTTGTATTGAACTGTTAATGAAAGGATCGCTATACGAAGTGCGAAAAATGAGTTAATTTCTCGTGGCTTAATTTTTAAACAATAAAATATCACGCATAAACTGGATAATACACTCGATTCTGTGTTCGTCGATTACTCATTTATGGAATAGTTTGAATTGAGGTTGTTGGATTAAGTTCAACTCTGCATAAGATATATTAATAGAGTTATGTCTATTTAACTGTACAAATTATAGATGTGTAATTGTGCTATGGTAAATTCTTGGTATGTTTTGGTAGAAATAAGTTATTTTCCACAGAATGCAAAAAATTACGGCTTTTATGTGTCAAACACTGTACAGTGCACGGAGAAAAATACTACCTAAAATTTGAGTTCTTTTTACTTAATTTTGAGCTGAGCCTCTCACTTGCACTCGTTATTGTTGTCCATTAAGGAACGAGAGATTTGACCCAACGATATAGTTCAGCCCAATAATTTACTTTTGAGTAAATTGCATATTTTCAAATTTGCGTGGATTAAACTTAATTTTGGGTGGAATATATGTAAGAGTTAGTATTTTTTTGCTGGTGTTAAATGGAAACTACTATATGGGTCATTCCAGCTCAAGTGGGTAAACCACCTGTGGTCGATATCACCGATTTGAGCCAAACTTGGCCAAAACGCTTATTTTGGCATTCTGAACAAACGCCTTTTTTGATTTTGACCCATTGGAACCATTAAATTTCCCTAAAGTTCTTTGAACTTGTGAAGTTTCCAAAATATGCCTGATGTTTTCTTAAGTTCACTGGAGTTCATTGGACTTTCCTGAAATTTTCGGGTGAACATAAACCTTAGGAAGTTAAATAAGGTTTAAAAGGGATTTCTCGATGCTCTAGGAATAACCGGCAAGAGCCATCGACAGTTTCTCAACATTAGTCAAAAGAGTATCAAGCATATGACATTTTCAAAGATTTTTATAAAAAGAATTTTGAGTGCTCCAAAGTTTAAGGTTATTTAAAAAGATACAAGTCTCTCACAGTAATTTTCTCCGAAATTCAAGCGCGGATAGGCAATAATAATTTTGATCATTTTAAAAAAAATCGGTATAAATCGGTATTCTGAAGAATCTTATATGTACCCTAATAAAAAAATACCATAAGCGAACGATAACCCATATGATTGAACTATTCCACAAATGGTTTGGATGATACCCCGAACACGTCGTTAAGCAAATTAACCATAACATTTTTATTAGGGTATATCGGTATCTAGTTCGGATATCGGTATAAAAGCTGATAAATCGGTTTATCTGGCAACGCTGATTAGGGTATTTTGAATCAAGCTAAATCTTTGAAAATGACATATTCTACAATCCTAGCACGAAAACGTAACTTCTATTGGAAATGACGTCTGAGACAATTGTGCAGGACAAGCATTCCGGTGGAAATAGCTATATTATTTTGAGGAAAAATCAAAACAAGTTTTATCAATCTACAATTAAAAATTAAAATTTTTATTATTTTTATTGAAAATTCCCATTCAAAATTTTTACTTAGTTGTGCAGGAATTTTTATTTTGGACACTTTAAAATGGACTAAATGCTGACAACGAAATCTTTTGATTAAATTTTAAAACTGTTTTTTTTTTTGCACTAGAGAAGGTGAGCCAATTTTTGGCTCTAGAGTGTAACTCAAATTTGACATATATGGTCATGGCTTTATTCGCATAGACATATATCAAAATCTATATTCAAACCTGCATGGAAATAAATTTGGTTAACATGTAAAACAAAATGAATATTATAAAGGGCCAGTTAGGGAACCTCTTGGTCCGAAAACTGGTTTATTTACCATATTTGTTCATCGTTTATGCGCAAAAATGGATTTTAAGATCTATGTAATCGTTTTCTGTGCACATTACACAAATTTTGTTTAAAAAAAAAAAACAGCTGAAAACATTTTTCAGACGTTGATTTTTGTTTGAAAATTTTTCTCATGTTAGAATTTTAAGTTAGCTTTTTAAAATAAAATATCGTAAATGAGCTCGTTTTGGAACTAGTGTTCAAGTGTCGGGCAAATAATTATTTTAGCATTATTCCGAAATAAATTTGGCAAATAATGAATAACTTTTTTAATTTTATGCGATTAAAAAATATATGATTTTTACCATAAACTGCTTAATTTACCTCATTGTCAATATTTGGAAAAAAAAAAATTAATTTCCCAGTCTCATACTTCATTTCGATTAGAAGTACAAAGCGCCATTTAAACCGGAGAACTGAATTTGCTGCTGTTTAATTTGACATTAAACTGTTGTAAATATACAACCATCTCATAGCAAAACGATAAAGTGGTTTTCAGAATTTCGTGAAACATGATAGGTTTTTTTTTTCATATCGCAAAATATTCGACTCGAATTTTTATTCTTTTAGCATTAGGGTGACCATTTACATGTTAGGGTGGTGCAAAAAATCGATTTTTTTTTTTCAAAATTCCTTTTTTTTATTATTACTTTTTTCAAAAATTCACGATTTTTGAATCACTGAACGATTTCAAAGATCATCATATCAAATGAAAGTTAATTTAACTAAATATTTAGAAATTATATTATATTTCTAAATTGGGCTTTTTTATTGAAAAACATTGATTGTACTTGTTTTTTTAATGGATTTTGTGGTTTGTAGACAGAGAGTTCAATGTGGTTTTATATTTTTACATGAAAATTTTGGCTGTGTTCGTGTTTGAGTTATATATTTCTAAAGTTATCAAGTTTTGGGGTTTCACTCAATACTCCTCCAATACTCCCATGATGGTGCTGGTTGTAATGTACGGTTTGCTGAATTTTCTGCACCCACAGATCGCCTGTCACACGAAGTACTTCTTGGCAAATTTTTTGATGTGTTGTGTAAAAAAGCCCAAACTTTCAAGGAAAAATATGAAAACATATTGCGCCCTCTGTCAAGAAACAATGAAAATCATAAAAAAAAAACAAATACAATCAATGTTTTTCAATACTAAATCCCAATTCTGTAATACTTTTACATTATTTCTAAAAAGTATTTGTAATTACCTTTAATTTGATATGTTGGCCTTTGAAATCGGCACAGGAGCTCAGGTAGTCACCCACGTCGTATATAAACAAAACGGATATGAATGGTCAAAGGTGACTCCTTTGAGGAACACCTGATGGTATACTAAACGCTTCGGATCTTGCATCATGAACCTTTACAAAGGCCTCCCTGGATGATAAGTACGATTCCAACCAGCGAACGATCCATGGAGGTATACCAAGGCGGCTCAACTTCGTGACAGCAAGGTTGTGGGGAGATTTATCAAAAGCCTTAGCGAAGACAATTTACACTGCATCAACTTGCTGACGCTTCTCGATGCTACCAATCAGAGTGTTAGTGTAAGTCATCATGTTGGTAATTGTAGAGCGTTTCTTCATACATCCATGTTGGTACTCGGAGATTATGAATTTAACAGCCGAGCTCAACTTGGCCTGCAGAAGACTTTCCGGAACTTTGGCCAAACAATTCAGAATTGAGATTGGACGATAGTTTTCCACGCTATGAATGTTACCTGGCTTGAAGATTGGAGTAATTGACGCAAGCTTCCAGGTGTCAGGGAAAACGCCATCCAGAAGTGATCGGTTAAAGATATCCATGACGGGAGTGGCCAAAGATGCTGCACATTTCTTGATGGTGGAAGGTGGATCTGGACCTTTCGAAGCATCAACAGAACAAAGGGCTTTGTGCATAGCATCATGGCTGAAATTGGGCTGCTGTAGACAAGTATGAAAGCTGCGAAGGTGGAGCTTGATCGACTTCGGAGACAGTTAGAAAGAAGACAGCGAAGAGGTTTTCAGAAGTAGCAGCATCGGTGGAGCTTTGACTACCATAGGTTACGTCCAGTGAAATTTGAGCTGAACCTATGCGAAAGTTTACAAAAATTCCAACACAGGTAACGCACTTATGGACAGAGCGTAAAATTATTGACTGCTTAGGTTGAGTGTGAAAGCACTGCAGTATTCAATCCATTGTCCTGTGCAGACCGTTTGTACTAAACGGTAAAGCTGGGTTTAGACAGGGCAAGTCAATTGATCAAGTAAGTTGAATTCAACTGACTTGAACGCGAATTGAACGTGTAAGCCATGCCTTTCAACTGACTTGATCAACTCACTTGACTTTAAAAAAAAGTTGAACCAGGCTCAACTTTTCAAGCCAATTGAATTCAACTGAGTTGATCATTTGACTTGCCTAGTCTAAACCCAGATTAAAGAACGAGGCAATGAAAGAGCCAACAAAACATTCAGTCACTCGCGAACATGCGACTCACACCGCTTGCCTTCCCTCACACAGCATGTAATTGAGGCATTTTTTCATAGAAAATGTACGCTCAAGTGGACCCTACACGATTGATTTTATTGACAATAATCATATCGTCAATTCATTTTATATTGACGTCAATACATCGATATTGACAATATTTCTGTATTCACATCATCAATATTATTGTCAAAAATTCCCTTTCGCATCAAAATATTTAACCATGTGGGGTTCGCTTCAGTCTTTCGAAACAAGTATTGGCTACCGTCACGGAAGAATAAACGTGCTGACTGGGCTACTGACTGAGTGCTCGGCTGTCAGTGACTCATTTACCTCTCAATCATTCAGAGTCTCACGTGGCAGATGGCAGTTCATATTCATATGAAAATGACTCATTGAACCAGATTGTTTTGCGCACTGATAGCAGTGATTCAAAAGTTATGATTTTTTGAAAAAAGTCATTGGAAAAAATTAACCTAACAACATGTAACATGGTTACTAGACTGATGCAAAATTTGAAATTTTCGCTCCACAATACTTAAACGATTCCAAATCGGATCCTGATAAACCTCTCAAAATTTGAACCTATTTGGTGAGAAACTGAGATGGCACAAACCATTTGAAGTTTGTATGGGAATTACTATGGTAAAACCAAGATTTTTGTTCATGTCTATCTAATAATTCACAATATTCGTCTGCTTCAAAAGCTTTCAACTGTACTTGTAGGAAATTTTCCCAGCTACAACTTTGCACAAAACCATTTTTTAATTAAATGCTAGGATCAAAGTTATCAATGGTTCATGGCGCTGATGTCTTATGATCATGCTCAATCAACTGCTCAGCAGGCAAAATTGGTGTTTCTGGGGCGTTGAATAGGACACAAAAATCATGACTACTATGTCACACTGCAAAATACAGTGTTGCCTACAGAGCAGCTGCTTGATCATGTCATAAGTTTACCAATCTCTTTAATAATTAATAACTTTTTCCTGTCTCGTTTTACATACAAACGATCTTTACCCAAGGTTTAGCTGAGAAAATTTTCTATAAAAATGACTATCGAACTGTTTCGCAGCCTTATATGGAAAAAGACTAGTAGGCAATGAACAAAAAGTTGAGATTTCCCATAGTAATTTACATGTAAACTTCAAATGGCTTGTGCGAAGTCTGTTTCTAACCAAATAAGTTGTAACTTTTGGAGGCTAATCAGGACCCGATTTGAAACCATTTAAGCACTGTGGAGCGAAAAAGTCAAATTTTGCATCAGTCTAATGGTCACTCTAATGACAAATGAAAAAAAATGCGGTTTTAATATTTTGCGATAAGGAACAAAACTTTCAATTTTTGCGAAGAACCACTATATCGTTTTGCTATGGAAATGGCTGTATAGAAACATCGTAGGAACTATTTTCAAGGATTGAATGTCTTCTCATGTATCTTTTTATGGTTGATAGAAAAACTTTGTATGCTTTTGATTAATTGAAAATTTGTTTTGAAGCTGCAACAAAGTTTTTTTTTTTTAATTTCTGGAATGTTTGCCATAGTTGATTTTCAATCGTTAAAAAAGCTGACGTTGTGCCTTAATATTGCTCTAATATTTTACTTTGGTTCAGATAAAAGGCAGGTGTATCTACTGTTTCATATATAATACGCTTAGCAGATCCATTTTGGATTATTTCACTAACCAATATTTATTGTTTTTGTTTCGTTTTCACGTTTGAAAGCTTATAATTTATTATCTTTAATGATTGCGAATGAAATAATTTATGTTGTTTGGCTTCCTTATAAAATTAAGAAGTCAAAGACCTAACATTAATTGATCATTATGTGAGTGACCGTGTACTTTGCTCCCATGTGAATAGCACGGAGTAGATAAAAAACTAAAGTACATAAGGGTTAATATGATTTGAAATGCGTAATGAATGATACCTTATATAATTTAAAAAAAAAAATGGATAACAATTTCAACCCTCAAGAAACACAGCAGTGATCCTATCATCAACAGATTTTATAATAAAATATAACTAACACTCCTGCACGCACCCAACTCTAAACTAGCATAGATGTACAGTAGCACTTTCACCAGGTCCTCTGCCTTAGCTGAACACCCCCTCCACCTTACTTGACTTACCCTTTGTGAGAAGATTCGAGCCCGATTAGCCATGATTCCATGCGACTAAAATTCAACCCCATCACAAAGATTCGGTCGTCGGCTCACCGCACCTGCCATGGTGGATTGGTTTCCTGTCTCTAACGACCTTCACCCTCTCCACCAATAGTACTCGATGTTACCACATTTCTCAAACTTCAAAATTTGCTGCAATAATCAAATTATATTCCGATAAACACACACGAACATTTCACGTACCAACCGACGGAAACTAAAAAATGATTCTAACCAGTATTTATTTTTATCTCTCTCTCTCTCTTCGACTTGTTTGAAACCAAAACAAACGAAACTTCGCTTCTTCATCCATCCAACATTATGTCGAACACGTGTTCTCTGTATGTGTGTATGAATGTGCGCTCCCGTATCTGTACAAAACGAAAATGCCAAAAACTGTTTGAAATCGAAAACTCGAACCAATATCAAACAAACAAATGTTCAACCTGCTTCAGGCGCTTTTGTCCGACACCTACTCTATGAAAGATACCAAAGTGCAGGAGAATGGAAAAGTAAGTTTTGTACATTAGCTTCTTTTTTATACTATCAAACACTATCTCTGTATTTCTGTCCATTAACATTTTCCAACCACCCAGCTATATAAAAATATGTAATCTCCCTCGTCACTTTGATCCCTTGAACACACTACGTAATGTGTAACTTGTCGTAAAAATATGCTCATGTCTACCTAACTCATCAAAACTTTCATCGAAATTCCGTTCATGTGCAGAAGAATCCCACGAAGCGAAGCGAGGAAATATGTCTAGTGTGTGATTTACCATCCGTCCTTATTTTAACCCATCCTTATTTGTTGAGTGGTTTAAATCAGTTTCAATTAAGCCTGGGCGGAACGTGCCCCCCGTATTCTCGGATGAAAAACCTTTTCCTCTGTCAGGTATTTCTCCGGTATTGAGTAAATTATATTAATTTTCTACAATTATTCACATTCATTGCCGGAGAACCGGCGCCAGCTGAAAGTGTAGACGAGAGGACAAGGGTCGGAAATTGAATTTAATTGCTAGCTTCAGACTCACCTGAAGGACTGAATTCAGAGACTAGGCTTGATTGTGTGACATTTTGCGCTGAGGGGACTCAATTAGTATACAAATGTAAACAGATTAGTTACAGATATTGAGGATTGAATTTAAAGCTGAACTGATTCGTCTTGTCTTGGCATTGACGTGAGCTTTCATTTGCTTCAGATTAAGTGTTCTTCGAAGCACTTTCACAGTTATTAAATGAGAACTTGGTTAGGACGCTCCGACACCGCGAGAGGACGGAACACGACGCCATTTTGTTATCCTTGACAGGTTTGAAGTAAGTTGAGGCGATTTCCGTATGTCAGAAGGGAATGACTCGACGTGATTCTGTGTCCAAAGGTAACACTGTAATGACCCGATGTTTCACATAATCGTAATTCTGAATCATTCTCATTCATCTTCAAGATTGATGGTCCAGAAGCCGAATTTAGGTGTAATAAGCTAGATGTGCCTTAGTCATAAGTTTTAGGTACATAATGCCTTGGGAAAAGTTTTTTTCATTTATTTTTGCCAATCATTTTTTGTGCGATAGCTTAGGGTGATCCATATAGTTGATAAGTTCCAAAACATCAACTTTGTTATTCGAGAAAGAGCAGTGTACTGTCCACAAAGTTGCAGTAAGTTATGTGAAATAAGCGGTGCCGGTGGTGTAGTGGTAACCCGAGCAAAGTTAGAGATCAAATTGAAATCAGAATTTGCTGTTATGATGTAACTTATTTTGAATACTCCATTTGATCTCATTTTGGTTGACTTAACGGTTAACACAGCAACAATGAGAGCAAAATTTTATACTGCTGAATCAAACGGAAAACTAATTCTGCTTTCAATGAAATCAATTTGATTACTGATTTTGCATTCATAACATTTGACTGAATACGGGCCTATCGTGAATGGTTAGCATCCATGCTTCTCACGCTGAAAGATTTGAGCTCAAATGTCACCTCGGGCTAGTCACGAATGACCTAAACTGTGTTAAACAAAATAAATAAACAATAATCATTAGTTCAAAGACAAATGAATTAAATCAAATTTTAAACAAGAAATTAACAGCAGAACTTCAAGTAAAGTTGATTTGATTTAAAAAGTCTTGAAAGCACCATATGATATCAGACTTCTCTCGCGACAATTGAAATCAAAATGAGTTTTCATTATGATAGGAACTGCAAACTTTAATATCGGTTTGCTTTCATTTTGTTAACCGACTTTGCTCGGGAAGCGTGATTACCTCTCACCCCAGCAGGCCTGGGTTCAATCCCAGTCGGCGCCGCCGGGGTGTTCTGAGGCATAACATCTCTGATCACGGGGAAGTAAAGCCGTTGGTCCCCGGATTATGAGTTGATGGGTCGAAAGGTAGGGTCCAGGTGTGGGAGCTGCCTCCCTGGCGTCGGTAGCATTGGTAATCAGCACAGAAAACAAGATCAACGGAAAACAAATCAAAGGAAAAAAAAGTTATGTGAACCAATTTTGCTAAAGGAAGCAATGTTTTATCTTTAATGGTCCATGATTTATACTGATTAATAATAAAGATTTTTATACTATTAACTGTATTTGAAAGATCATGATTTGATCTATCTTTGATCTGCTTAATCCAGCTTACTCTCCAACAAAATGACTCCGATTCTCGTAAAATACTCGTACTGTCAGTCATCCAAGATGAACCGACAAGATTTTTTTTTCCTTTGGTTTGTTTTCCTTCGATCTTGTTTTCCGTGCTGAGCACCAATGCCACTGACGCCAGGGAGGTAGCTTCTACACCTGGACCCTACCTATCGACCCATCCATTCATGAACCGGGGACCAATGGCTATACTTCCCTTCCGAAGGAAGGCGTGATTAGAGAGGTCATGCCTCAGAACATCCCGGCGGCGCCGACTGGGATTGAACACAGGCCTGCTGGGGTGAAAGGTATACGCACCGCCGGTGCCGCTGAACGACAAGATTGACGGAAACTGTTGACATGGTTATTGACGAAAAAAGTCTGTCATGCCATTCTTCCATTCTGTCGCGACAAAACTGCCGCTGGTTGTTTTCTAGTTAGTGCATGTCGCTTTGCATACGAGACATAAAAAGATTGAAATAACTGGAATTGAATTGTTTTGACGGGATTTCACCTCTGACTCGAAGTTGCTTGAATCTTGGCGCTGAACTTCGTGTTTGCAAGAATATAAGTGATTTCTAGTGATGGTTATGGATGGAAGCTGCCGAAAATCGAAGTTCGACGCCATTTTGGAATCCAAGATGGCGGCCAATGTTTTCAGATAATCTGTCAAATATTCCCTACAATAGGGGTATTTCAGAACGGGGACGACGGATACATTCCGAAAATCGATGTTCGACGCTATTTAAGAATCCAAGATGGTGGCCATTTATCTCCGATAAACTGTCAAATACCCTTCAAAATATGAGTCTTTCCGGAACGGGGACGACACGCACATTCCGAAAATCGATGTCCGACACCATTTTGTAATCCAAAATGGTGGCTCTCAGATTCTGAAAAACCTCAAATACCCTACAATATGGGTGTTTTCGAAACGGGAACGTCGTGTGGATGGCGAAAATCGATGTCCTGAATTTGTTTATTGTTTATTGTTTATCAGTCAACAGGTAAAATGTTTACCCCAATGACACCTGTTCTACAACTAAATACAAAACTAACGAATAACATAAATTAACATAAAACTTGTTTAAAAGTACGCTTGTTTGTTTCTCGTGACACGTTGAAATCGTACACATAATAACACCGGTTGAATTCACGGGACATGCTTCGCAAAGGTTCGTGAAAGCCATAATTAGTTCTTGCCGGAGGGATGGTGATAAACGAGTGCGACCGGAGATTGCGACGACGTGTGTTGATGTCCAAGAAACTAAGAAGCGCAGTACTGTCAATGTTGCCTTGCAGAAGATCCCCAACAAAGCACGCTTTTGCCACGTTGCGTCTTGCTTTTAGTAATTCCAGATTTATAAGTAGACAACGCCTTTCATAACTGGGCAGGTTGAATGGATCTCTCCACCTAATATGACGTAGAGCGAACCGGACGAATTTTCGCTGAACAGCTTCGATGCGTTGAGTTTCATTCTGGTAATAAGGAGACCAGACGATAGACGAATACTCCAAGATAGGGCGCACAATTGAGCAATATAAAGCTTCCTTGAACTTTTTTGCAAAGCGAAATAAAAATCCTAGTTGCGATGAGGCTTTAGACACAACGTACGCGACGTGATCCTTGAAGGTTAATTTTTTATCAACCAGAATCCCCAGGTCCTTGACTGTCGAATCACGTTGTAGATTCACGCCTCCCAAAGCATAGCTAAAATGGAAGAGTGATTGCTTGCGGCCAAATGAAATAACCGAACATTTGGACACGTTCAGCGACATTCGATTAATATGACACCATTCAGCAAAGGCTTCCAGTTGTTGTTGCAGAAAAAACGCGTTAGGTAGGATCGAAGCCAGGAAAGCAAGTTACTGTTCATTTCCAGCTTGTCGAATTTAGCAACTGCGATTTGATGATTCATTTTATCAAACGCCGCGGATAAGTCTGTGTAAATAGCGTCTACTTGTTGACCATTTTCTATTTGGCGGATCACGAACGAAGTGAAACAAGTCAAATTAGTTGTCGTCGAACGGTTAGGCATAAATCCGTGCTGATCAATCGAAATGTAGTGTGCGTAGTTCTGAACCAGCTTATGCAGAACGATCACCTCAAACAGCTTAGAAGTGGCGCTCAACGCAGCTATGCCCCGATAGTTCGAAACAATCCACTTGCAGCCTTTCTTGAAAACTGGGAAAACATACGACTGCTTCCAGCAGTTTGGGAATACACCAGTAGCCAAAGATAGGTTGAATACTCTTGCTAGTGGTGTTGCAAGTGTATCCGCGCAGCATTTGAGGACAAGCGATGGAATCCCATCCGGACCACATCCCGTGGAGGATTTTAAATCCTTTCCGGCTGATATAACCATATTGTTCGTGATCACGAACTGTAGCCCAGAGGCCGAAAGTTGAGGAACATTTCTGGTGGCGACGGCTACATCCTGCGGGTCGATGTGTTCATTAGTGAAAACATTGCTGGATTGAGAACGGAACAGGTCGGCGATGTCAGTGGTGGAATCAGCTTCGAACAATCCGTTGGTCATCGTAGAGGGCAGTCCGGATTCCATCCGTTGGTCATGGACATAACGCCAAAAACTTCTGGGATTTGTCTTGAAGCGCCTTTGCAAATGATCCTGATTACGATTATTAAGTTGGTTGTATTCAGTGCTCGCCGCCATATATCTCATTCTCGTGGAGTCCGTGCGATACTTGCTATGTCGTCTGAGAGCTGCCCGCTTCACAGTCCTAAGATGCTTGAGGTCAGCATTTGACCAGGCTGGCTTAGCCGGTTCGTGTCTAGACTTCACGGGAACGAACTGATCGATGGCATACCACAGGATACCAGATATGGTCGACGCAGCGAGGTTGGCATCACAATT